GAGTCTAGTTACAACTATAGAGTTTTCTGGTGGAATCCATCATAATTCTTTTTTTCCAGAGATAACCAACCAGAATTCTGCTTGATGTGATCAGAGAATCTTCTGATTCGTCCAGCCAGAAATCTTTCTCAGTGATAGAATAATTTATTCTTCGTCCGCACGTATATATATATATATACATACATACATTATATACAGGATAATCCAGATCAGCCAGAGAAGTCAGCATGTGCGTACTGTTTATGAAAAACTAAATCGAAAAGTTCTCTAGTACATTTTATAATTTTTTTTTAATTATTGAATAAGCAGAATATCTAAAATCGACGCATAAGACAACTTTAAGACAACTTTATATCTTTAAAAATTTGAGATGTTTCGTAAAGAACTTCGAAAGATATATTAATGTTGTCTTGTATATCGATTTTATCGCTCGATTTTACCGCTTATTCGGCAATTTTTAGAAATTGATATCTCGTTATTGCAATCATTGCAAAATGAGAGAGAACTTTTCAATTCAGTTTTTCATAAACAGTACTTACATGTTGATTCCTCCGGCTGGTCACCCTGTGTATATACGTACACGCGCGTACGTACGCGCGCGCGCACACATACACACACTCACATACACACGCAACGCACGCATGCACGCACATGCACACACATTGACGAACGTTCCGTTGTTGTTTCATCAATAAACTTTAATTTTGCGAAAATATGCATCACTATGTTCTTTATCAGAAATGGTTAATACAAGAAGCGTTTTAACTTATTACTCTATTTCTCTTCTCTGACTAATTTTGATTTAGCCCTAGGACCAGTTAGAAACTAAACAAATTTCAACACCGTCTACAAGATAGAATAAAAACAATAATATAGCATTGTAAGATACTCTTCTGGAATAAAATGAAAATATCACAATTAATTATAAGATAAACAATTATGTTTGTTATTTTAGAAATTCAAATATATTTATATTTATAAGGCCAAGCTGATAAATTGTATGATAAGTTATAAAATTTGCAATTTTGTAAATATCAATTGGTTAATCGTTTTATATTCAATTTTATATTCGTCCATATCGATATAACATAAATATATGTTAAAGAATGAAATAAATAAATACTTCATACAAGTTTTGTTATTTTCAACAGAATTAAACATGTCAAACTTTGATTATTTTAGCAAATATATGTGCACATTCAAATAGCATAACTACATTGCTCAGTACATCGAAATATTTTCTAATCTACATTATATTCACGCGAGCAGTACTGAAATCTAGAAAATAGGTCGACAGTAATCTTTCAAAGAATAAAAAAACAATAAATAATGTTTTATATATTTATTATAAAACAGTGAATAAAAGTTGCATTTAATTTCAGTAGGTATATAAAATTTTTTTTTAAGATATTTTATATAACATACATGTTTTTATGTAGTGAAAAGTTTGTATAATTCTGAGCATCTTACAAATTACAATATACGATCAACAATCATTTTCGTTTTTGTGCAAGATACTGCAACGATACATCTATAGACTGTCCTAGGGTTAAATAAATTTTTAATTGACATAATCGTTTTGCCGTTTCTGAAGCCTGCTCAGATTTAGATATGTAGAGAGAATGTACCGAACAATAGTGACGCGCGCGCGCGTAGAGATTATTTAATAAATTACAAGAGAATATATTTATATTCATTCATAGATAATCGGTATGATTTGAGCCTAATTATTTAACTTTAGATTCTTTTTTTAGGTATATCCAAATAACAAGTAATAATTCTTAATTCCAGCAGTCTTCATACGCGTTACTCTGCTTACAGAATTGACAACAAAAGCTAACAATAATGATAACACATTATGCAAGTACACGAAGGTTAAAGAGTGGAGCCTTTTGAAAGAGTGCGGTGAAAATAACGAGGCTAGCGTTCGCTGAAATCACTTTTTTTTCATCTGCTGCTCATTATTAAATGTACGAAAACCTGTTCTTTCATTTTATTCATTAACGTTAATTATACATTGTCGTCGTGTTACGTTGAAATTATTCTCCGTTTGAAGTGCAAAGCACAGATTGAAGTATGTATGAATATATACGTACTTCACACTTTTTCCCCTTTAAAAGCTGCTTCACACTCAGATATACATATACGACAAAGTTAGTGATACGAGGTGTCTGATACGTTAGATCTGTAGCAAAATAAATACAAACGAAATTCTCTTAAACTAGTAAATACTACAGTATCTTTGTATTGTATACACTTTAACTAGCCAGTGCATTTTTTGTGTATATCCTGACTCTCTGATTAACCTTCTGTCTATGTAGCACACCTTACCACGCATTCTAAGGCATGAACTTCCTAGTGAGCTGGATAAGAGAGAGCATAGACCAGTGTGCCAGGTACTTATGTGTTAACATTCTTTTTTTTTTCTTCACTGTTGTAGCTAGATATACATTACATTAGAAAGTATATTACTATCGTATTTAAAAAACTGTTTCTTCTGTTCTTGACTTTACACTTTATCAAGATTCTTATTTTCCACAGACAGTAATTATAAAAACCATTTGCAAAAATTTTTCGTATTAGAAAGCAAAAAATAAACTTGAACTTCTTGAGTGGCTATGTCTCCGTATACTAAACAATAATTTAACCTATCCCACGAATAACTTTCAACTTCTTTTTCTCTTGTATTTGTATTTTTATGTAACAATTTTTTTAATTTCTATTAATAATGCGATAAGTATCTTCGACAATTGAAGCAAATTTCCTTTTTTTTTTACCTGAATCGCTAATTATTTAATATAACATAAGGATTGATAGTCGAACTGCATTTGAGCAAATATTTTACGTACTGAAATTGATTTTACTGTATCGATTCCATTCTAAAGTTATTCGTGTGAATGGCTTAATCAGGATTTCGATATTACAACACACGCATACTTGTATACGACGTAGGTTATATGTTTTTAGGATAATCATCCACGTCTATACAAAACAGGCACACGTATCTTCCGCGCCAGATTAGGGAGCCGTTTTTACTCATCTGATACCATAGCGAAAGCACATGTCGTGAATCAATGTTTAGTTATCACTCATCGTTTCTATCTCGATACATGTCCATTCTTATGTTTCGTTCCATCATGCATTTATCAACCTGTCACTTGTGTTGGTTGTACATATTCAGATTGCAATGTAATATAAAATATGATAAATAAAAACATTGTAATCATATGGTATTATCGCAAGATAGAACAGAAGAGAATAAATCAACGATTCCAAATAAGTATGAAATATTTTAAAATATTAAATTCAATTTCAATAATATTTTAAAATATGCAGTTTGCTTAATTCTATTTGTCAAAAATAGATTCATAAACGTATTTATATGTAACTCCAAATAAATTTTTACGACAA